AAAATAATTCTCATTTTATAAATGTTTTGAAGACCTGTTGCATTTAAAGAAGTGCACAATAATGAAGCTTTAACAAAGAACATAATCACTGCAGTGAACAATGAAATTATATGTTGAGTGAAAAAAGTAAGGAAAAAGAAGTAAATGTTTTAACAAAACTAAAGTCTTGAAAAAATAAAATGAAAAAAGCAGTCCTATTTCACTCTTTTTTTGGTTTAATATACTTCCTTGAGTTCTTTCAAAGAAATCTGTAATGTGTCAGGGGGAAAAAAAAGCTTTAATACAGCTCTTGAATAGCAACCTAGAATTTTCTCATCTGTGAAGAAAGGCGCATTTTCTGAGCATTCATTTTATATTCAAACGAGAAAACTCTCAGTGGCTAACTGTGTGTGTGTGGGGGGGGGGCAAACAGTAATTACATAACAATATCAACAGCATAACAACAGGCTGCTTCTGTTGCCCCCTGAAGATGGGGTGATGGGGGTGAAGCGGTTGATGCAAGACTTAAGCAGACAGGCGCTATACCTCTTGTTGCTTCATTGAATTCAAAAAGCATGCAACATCTTGGTTTACCTTTCATATACCCTTTGACTGAGCTCAACTTTTTGACGAACCGCATCCCCCAAACTTGGCACACTGGATATGGCGTAATAAATTACATTTTCTCTCTGGTCAACCTCCCTGTCATATTTATGTTAAGAATCGTTAGAAGGTGAGGATGAGGTTAGCTTTGCATCACTGCTGCTACCTGTTGGAGTGGTAATCTTTGGAGGACCGTGGACTGTTTTTCCTACACATTTTCTTGTTCAAATCAGTTTTACTATCAGTAAATAGTTTGTATTAAAAAATAAAATGGAAATTGTTCTGCAAAAGTTTTATCTACTGAGTCATAAATTCACAGATTTGCCAAAGAGCTCAGCAAAACACATGTGCTTAGCTCACCATCTTGCCTTAAGCTCACTTTTCCTAATAAAGAACTAACACATCCTCACAGGTGTGCTGGGTACTTGTGCCAGACTTGTGAATTAAAGCTGAGAACCATATCCTGTGTTCATAATGTTCTCATAATACGTATCGTTATGGCTGAAAGGCACTCGAGTGCTGCACCAACGATCAGCGTTGTAAATTTGATACATTAAATTAAACTATCACTGTTCTTTGTTTGGCTTGAAGTTCTGTTCTGGTGTTAAATGTTAAGAGATATTCAAGATTAACCCTTATTTACACATGGAAAAGCAGAAATTGCAAGTGTAGTGCATAGACACGTGTAAGTGTAGAGATTTTGTTGGGGAGTTTCAGGATAGCAAGAGAAGGAGAGTATGCTAACTAGTGAATTACTATTGGTACACATGTTTGGATCAGTGTGGGCTGTCAGAAAGTACAGTGAACTCTTACAAAACATATATACTGTATTTCAAATCTTCCCTTTTTATCAAAAATTTTAGAGAAAGCAGTGGCAAAACAATTATGTTCCCATCTGCATAGGAGTAATGTATATGAAAAATTTCAGTCCGGCTTCAGGCCTCACCATAGTACCGAAACATATATACATACATACATACATCATCTAAACCGCTTATCCTTCTGGGTCGCGGTGGGGTGCTGGAGCCTATCCCAGCTGTCATTGGGCGGAAGGCAGGATACACCCTGGACAGGTCGCCAGTCCATCGCAGGGCAGACAGACAGACAGACATACACAGTCACACACTCACACCTAGGGGCAATTTAACGTGTCCAATCAGCCTGACTGCATGTTTTTGGACTGTGGGAGGAAACCGGAGTACCCGGAGGAAACCCACGCAGAACATGCAAACTCCACACAGAAATGACCCTAGTCGCCCAGCCGGGAACCGAACCCAGGCCGTTCTTGCTGTGAGGCGACAGCGCTACCCACTGCACCACCGTGCCGCCCAGTACCGAAACAGCGTTAGTGAAAATTGTAAATGATCTTTTATTATCCGCTGACAAAGGAAACATATCCTTACTGGTTTTACTTGATCTTAGTGCAGCTTTTGACACAATAGACCATTCCATTCTATTAGACAGGCTTGAGAAACTAGTAGGAGTGACAGGTAAAGCTCTTTCGTGGCTCAAATCTTACCTTAGTGATCGCTTTGAGTTTGTTAATGTAAATGGTGAACCATCAGCTCTCACAAGAGTAAAGTATGGTGTTCCACAGGGCTCTGTCTTAGGACCCATGTTATTTGCCTTATATATGCTACCACTAGGCACCATCACATGGCATCAGTTTCCACTGCTATGCCAATGATACACAATTATATATTTCAGCTAAACCAGAGGACAAAACTGAACTTAATAAGATAGAGGACTGTGTCAAAGACATTAAAGACTGGATGTCAAGCAACTTCCTTTTACTAAATTTGGACAAAACCGAAGTCCTTCTTCTTGGTCCAAAAGCTGCTAGGGATAATCTGCCTACGTTTACTCTTAATCTCGATAGTTTCTCAATTGCACCAGGCACATCTGTAAAAAGTCTTGGTGTCACGATTGATCCCAGTCTGGCCTTCGATGAGCATATTACCAATGTTACCAGAATAGCTTTCCTCCACCTGCGTAACATCGCTAAATTAAGAAATGCACTGTCGCTACAGGATGCAGAAACGTTAGTTCACGCCTTCATCACGTCCAGGTTAGATTACTGTAACGCTCTGCTTTCTGGCTGTTCCAGCCAAAACCTTAACAAGCTTCAGTTAGTCCAGAACGCTGCAGCCAGAGTTCTCAGCAAAACCAGGAAATTCGACCACATTAGCCCAATTTTGTGTACCTTACATTGGTTGCCAGTTAAATTCCGCACTGAGTACAAAATTCTTCTGCTGACGTTTAAAGCTTTGAATGGCCTTGCTCCTCAGTACCTCAGTGACCTTATTTCCTATTATCAACCGACACGCCCACTTAGATCACAAGGTGCTGCTCATTATTAGTACCCAGAATAAATAAAGTTACGTCAGGGGGAAGAGCCTTTTCATACAACGCCCCCCAGCTTTGGAATAACCTACCAGTCTGTGTTTGGGACTCAGACACAGCCTTCATCTTTAAGTCTAGGCTAAAAACTTACCTGTTTAGTCGAGCCTTTGGTTAATTTGTTTTCCTAACTATGTCCCTCTCATCCCCCAACCCCCCTACCCCCCCCCTTCCACCTCCCCCTCTCTTTCCCTGAGCTGAGCGGCTGCCTGTCCTAAGAGGGTCTGACCTGAGATGCGGCCGGCGCACTGCACAGTGGTGTTAAACTGCATCCACTTATACTGTTTTGTGTCTGTGCTGTAATCCGGTGTCGACCAGAGGAGGATGGGTTCCCCTTTTGAGTCTGGTTCCTCTCAAGGTTTCTTCCTCCTGTTGAGGGAGTTTTTCCTTGCCACTGTCGCCAAGTCTTGCTCACTGGGGGCACAGACCCAGATTCTCTGTAAAGCTGCTTTGTGACAACATCTGTTGTAAAAGGCGCTATATAAATAAATTTGACTTGACTTGAAATTTGACTACTTACAGCATAACAACAAATATATATATATTTTCTATGTATTGTAAGACAGAAAAAAACATCAGTTTAGTTAGAAACAGAATCAGAATTCCCTGAACATCTTTTCCTATATATATGCCCACAAAAAGAAACATCACCTCCACAATTATTAATATAATCTTAATATAAAAAAGTGTAAAAAGAATTATAAGAAAATCATCTTTTGGTGAATTAGCTTAATCTCACACTAAAAAAAGGAGAAAAATCCATCCATTAATTGAAGTATTTTATTATCAAGTATAATCATCAAGAAAAAAAAAAAACACATGACACAGTCGTTGGCACCCCTAAAAATTCTTAGAAACAAAATGTAACTGAAAGATTTTTTTCTGTTTATATTTTACTTTTTCAAGTTGATCAGAGTGTCCAGGAACTTTTAAGCAGTAATCCATGACTTCCTGACTAATCCACTTCACTGGGGTATATATGTGAGGTGACACAGAGGTCAAATTCCATTAGTCATTCTTCAACATGGGAAAGACAAGAGAACACACAATTCAAATAAGGGAAAAGTGTTGTCCTTCTTAAGTAAATGAATGGCAATAAAAATAGCTACTGATCTGAAAATGCCCAAATCTACAGACAGGGCAATAATTGAAAAGTTCCAATTAACTGCCTGGACTTGCCTGGACAGGATCCGAGTTAATTTTGCCCCCATGCTCAGTAAGATGGATGATAAGAGAGGCAAAGGAATCCCCAAGGATCACGGTTGGAGAGTTTCAGAAAAAAGAAGCATCTTGTCTCCAAAACTACCATGGATGCCACCTCCATGCCAATAGATTATTTGGAAGGAAAGTATGTCAGGAAAAAGCCTAACCACAAATGTAAGTGCCTGGAGTCAGATGAAATGAAAAATGAGCTTATTGTTAAGAAACACTCCAGGTGGGTTTGGCATAAACAGAAGAACGACACATTGAAAAGAACCTGATGCCCACTGTTAAGTAAGGTGGGGGGGTCTGTGATGTTGTAGGGCTGTTTTTGTCCAAAGGCCCTGGGAACCTTGTTAGGATACATGGCATCCTGGACTCCATAAAACACCGGGAAATTTTGCATCGAAATCTGTGTGCCTCTGTCAAGAAACTAACAATGGGTCATCACTGGATCTTCCAACAGGACAGTGATCAAAAACATGTCCAGATTGACACAAAAATGGTTTACTGAACTCTGAATATTCTCAGAATAAATTGACCTCAATTAAAGGTTGGATTTTTCTCATTTTTTTCAGTGTGAGATTAAGCTAATTCATCTTTACCAAGGTTGCTAATAATTGTGGAAGGGACTGTATGTATAAGCAGTTCAAACCCCTTTGTAAGCTGTAAGTTTTATAGTTGTTTTGCTTTTATGCCAAAATGACATAATACCCATAATGACTAACATTCATAATATATCATAGCAGCAATGGGCAAAAAAATAATGTGAAGAAACTTACATGAATGTACTACATGTCTCTTTGATTTTCTTGCAGGAATGAGGACTCAGTTGGAAAACAACTAGACGAAATAAAAAAAAACAGTAGAACAATAAAAGGATCCCTCACAAGATACATTCTAAACACAAAGACTCTAATTGATGGAGAAAGACTGAGGAGAGAGAGATTTGGAGAAGAAGACAAGAGCAAACCTCATAAAACCATAATACTGGTTGGAGAAACAGGAACAGGGAAGTCGACTCTCATCAACGCCATCATCAACTACATGCTGGGAGTGAAATGGGAAGACAGAATCTGGTGTGAGATCATAGAGACGAAAGACGACCAAACTAAATCTCAGACCAATGCAGTGACTGTGTATGATGTGTTTGCTGAGGAGAGTCCGTTCTCTCTCAGCATCATTGACACACCTGGATATGGAAGCACAGAAGGGAAAGAGGATGACTTAAATGTTACTGAAACACTGCATGAGTTATTCAGATCCAAAGATGGAGTTCGTGAGATTGATTTAGTGTGTCTTGTGGTGTCATCAAACACCACTCGACTCACAGACAGGCAGCTGTATGTGTTTGATTCCATTCTCTCTTTATTTGGAATAGATGTGGAGAGAAACATTGTTGTGCTCATCACTCACGCCCCCAAAAAGCCTAAAAATGCCCTTAAAGCCATCAAAGAATCAAACGTCAGATGTGCTAAAACTGGTAAAGAGCCTGTGTACTTCAGCTTTGACAACTCTCACTGCGAAGACTTTAATGAAGACGATGACAAAACAGCATGGGACAAAAATGAGGAAAATATGCAGAACTTCTTCACTTTTCTGAATGACAGTAAAACTGTAAGTTTAAAGATGACCGAAAATGTGATGAAACTCCGCAAACAACTGACAGCATCCATCTTCAATTTAAAGGATCGAATCAAACAGACAGACCAGAAAAAAACTGAGCTTGAACAGACAAAAAAAGCCTTGAAGCAATATGAGGAAGAAAAGAAGGACATGAATAACTTTGAATATGAAGTTGATGAGGTCTACAAAGAAATGGTGCCAATAGAGTCTGAATGGTGGCACATACAAAGCAAAAAGGCGACTTGCTGCAGAGTGTGTAAGGAGAACTGTCATTATCCTGGATGCTGGTGGGTCAAAGATGTCTCATGGTGCAGTGTCATGTCAAAAGGAAAATGCCAAAGTTGTACTAGAAAGTGTGATGCTAAAGACCATTTTAGAGGGGAGAAAATCTATGTGTCAAAGACTCGGAAGGTGAAGAGGACATACAAAGATCTGATGAAGAAATATGAGAAAGAGTCTGGAGAGACAAAGAGTGTGATGAGCAGTCTAGAGAATGAAATCAAAGAAAATGAAGTGGAGAAAAAATATCTGGTTGAACAGTGTTACCAGAATGTGGTCACTCTGGAGGTGACTGCTTTAAAGTCTGACTCTGCGTTTGTCATTCAGCATCTGGACTTCCTGATTGAGATAATGAAGGAAATAGGAAAAACAGAAGGAGTTCAGAGACTTGAAGAACTGAAGAAAATGTAAGGTCCTTCACATCTATAAAGTAAATATATGACTGACCCTGATGAAAAATAAAATCATCCTCAAACAGTCTACTCAAAATGATTTACCACAAACAGGAGGAATAAAGAACATTGCATTCCACTAGTTTATATTTGCCTAGCCTACATACATGATTAAATTTTCAGATTAAATAAAAAAAGAGATTACTGAGAGGGGCTTCAGTCCCTCTTTGGCATCTTGCAGCAGGAAGTCACCACTTCACCATCTGGAAATCCAGCACATTTCCTCATTTGCCACGTCATGAATGGTACCTGCTTTTTCTAAATGTCAATGAACGACACTTTCTGCTCACACCACTTGTTTTTAGCGCTTACCAGCACCTGCCATGCAGATATAGCACATGCTACTTAAAACAGGCACATACCAACAACTCCTGTGAGAAAAGTGACTCTGGGCACTGGGCACTGGGCTAAGCTAACTAGCAGCACATCATAACTCCACCATAAACCATCAAAACCTGGAACAACTGATGAATGAATGTCGATTTGAAAACTTTGTGCAGTTAATATATAATATTGTTGGTTCTTTGTACCATTATGTGGACGATTCTAAGCTGAATGAGCTACTTTAGGAAAAGGCTGTGCAACAGTAGCAGTAATATTAGCTATATTTATTATCTTAAATATGTAGTACTTGCAGGCTTTTGTTGTGGCACCGAGATTTCATGAAAATACAGCTTGTGTTACAGATGTACTCATGCTAATTATTGAATTCATTGTAAAGTGTTATTCATGCTACATCTAAAGTTTGTAAAGACCATTTATCAGCATGTTAATTAAACAATAAACAAGAAATGTAGCCTTGTGTTATTGTTTTTATATATTTTTTATTAATTACAGTGACCCTTATTGCCATCTGCCGAAATTAGTATAATTTTTACAAACCACATCCAATTCCACTAACAGTGAATAGTTAATTACCACATGAAAACTACATTGTAATGTAGCTGCAAGGGGCAATTTGCTGGGTCCAAGCACTGTTAGGTCAATGAGGCCTTATGTGCAGGTCATAGAAAACACCATTTCTTCAGATCAAGATTCCTAAATTTCTTTAAATTATTGTGATTATTGAGTAAAGTCATTAAAAATTAATACAGCATCTACCCTTAATTTGTTATTCTGTATATATGTATATAAATTCAGTTATATCCAGATAATTCCTGATATGTCTGTAGCCCTTTAAGTCAGAAAAAGCCAGGTCACACCAATTTGTTCAAATCTTGCAACCACACTTAAAGATTGTTTTAAAGAACTTGAAGAACAAATGTGAGGTATTTTGATATAAACTCAAGGAGTAGTAAGTTGTAACAATTGTGGAACAACTACACAACTACAAGTTTTTTTTAAGACTTTTATTTGCACAATTGTCACACTTGGTGAAAAGCATGACTTGGAACAATTTGTGATTGAATTGAAATACAGTAAGATGCATGTTAGTTTCTATGTTTTGAGGTACACTATTTGCAATTAACTGGATGAAATATTGCAATATTTTATTAATGTAATGTTTAAGTCAACTTAAACCCAAATTCTTGTGTAATTTAGGAAAATAAATGTATTTTCTTAGTTTTAAGTCTTAAGGAGTTCTCTGGACACATTGCTGTTTTCTTGATCATTTAAATTGTTGGCACTGTAGGGTCCAGCTAAGACTGATGCAAGCTAATTTTGAAAGCTTCCTCTGCTGATTATTGTGCAAATGTGTATCAAATTTGGTCACAATCAGAACATCACTGATGGATTTAGAAACATTTGTGTCAGAATTAGCCAGGCCAGATTGATTAATTCATTCTAATGTGCTAAAAATGTATTTCTAAATAATTGTTGACCTTGAGAATTTCCTGGTTATTTTAAAACAAAGTCTGAGAGGATGCAATAAAAAAACTTGTCAAACTTTAATGATTTGATGGAAAACAACAGAGTATATTAAAAGACTTTCATGCAGAAAGTCTTAAAAAAAAACATTCAGAAATGCATTCTGCCAAAAGATAAACACAGTAAACCTTTTGACTAATGGTGTATTTCAACATTTGCAGTTACTGTTTAGGAAAGAAGAATAACACCTGGTTCTGTGATCAAGATTTGTTGAAATCAAATTACAGGATTTCCTGTGACATTAAGCAATTTACACATATTTTCAATGTCTTAAGGCTCATTAAGACATAATGTAATTAAACCATTGTCATGTCTTTATTTCAATCTTAGACAGCAATAGTGATATTTTAGATTGGTTACAGCACACTGAGCAGTGTAAAAGACAACTTAGGCCTATTAAAGTCAATTTTCATATGTTTCCTCAGCTGATTATTGTGAACATAAATATCAAATTTGGTCATAATCAGAGCATCACTGATAGATTTATGGCCTCGAGTCAGAATAAGCCGAGCTGAACTGATTGATTCATGTCTTGCAGTTATATTGTGCTTAGAAGTCAAGATTTTTAATAATTATTGACCCTGAGAATTCACTTGTTGTTTTAAGATCGCATTTGAGAGAATGTGCCACAATATAAATATAGTAAAGCTTGTAACTATTTTGAATGTTTGAAGTTGTAAATTGCAGTTAATGCTGAACCTCTGGTGGCCAGAGAATACATTGTCATTCCTGGTTCTGTGGTCAAGATGTATTTAAGTCAAATGTGTAATTTCCTGTGTAATTTTAGAACATACATATAATTGCAAAGGTTTATATGTTAATAAGATGTGCAGCTGGAAACCACTGTCTTTTACTTATTTTAATCCCAGAAAGAAATAATGACTTTTTTATACATGTGCACTTGATTATGCATTGTAGGGGCCCATGGAGACCAATTTTATCAAAACTTTGCTTCCTTCCTCAGATGATTGTTTTTTACAGTATATCCAAATTTGGTTATTTTTTGAGAAAGACTGATGGATTTGTAGCCCCTTAAATCAGAAAAAGCAAGGCTGAACAGACTGACTGATGTGGCCACTCTCTGCAATAAAGTCAAGATTTCTAAAATAATTATTTACCTACAGAGTCCACAGATTATTGAGACAATTTTATTAAAATCCACAGACTAGATCGAAAAGCTCATTTTTCAAACTCAGAACAAATGCAGAAACATTTTAAAGAATTTTCAAAGACTTGTTATTAATACAATGTCAGACTCAGTGTAATATAGGCATATATATTAGAGAATGCTTATGTGGACAGGTCATATAATTTTCATGAAGACTGGCCAATGTCAAGCTCTCCAAATGCCTGTTGAAAGCTTATTGGCCAATGGCGGCCATATGTGTCCAATTATTAAGTTGTCCTTAATATCTCAGTTATAAAATAGCCCAATGATACAGCATACAAAGTTTCAGCTCAGTTGACCAGGTGGCTGCTTAGAAACAGTTTTTTGGATATTATAGTGCCACCTATTGAATAATTGGTGTCAACCTTGGTGAACTTCCTGAAAACCATGTACAGTATTAGACTCCTAAGATTCATGAGAATGGCCAAAGCAGTTCCCAACTGTAGCCCTTTTTGTGAAATAAGCTAAAGCCGAAAGAGCTTAACTGGCATATTGTTCTAAAATATCAATTTTTTAAATAATTCTTGACCTCCAAACTCCGCTGAACAATTTGAAACCAACATTGTGTAGATATCTTGAAAAGGATTATGTAGAAGCAAGAATTTTTAATGTAGGCCTCACGGTCCAGGACATATGGGACAAAAAATAAAATCTTGCTCGATAGCACATCCATCAGGCCAATTGGGGTCATGTCCAGAGGTGTAAGTGACAAATTACATTTACTCTCGTTACTGTAATTGAGTACAGTCTTCCCTGTAACAGTACTTTTTTGAGTAGAATGAAATTATGGTACTTTTACTCTTACTTGAGTTAAGTTGAGATTTTAATGAAATACTTTTAGTTTGCTAATTTAATTTTCATAACATCACAGAGTAAAAATAAACTATGAGTGTATCAGCTCAGAAACCAATAAAAACAAGGCACGGTTAAATTCAAAAGATTCACCAATCAAAAAACAGCAGCTCCAACAGGAAAAACACTACAGAGATGTCCAGTTTAGTGGAGAAGGACAGAGGAGAACTGAACCAGCACATACGAGGAACAAACCGCAGCAAAAAGGTCATCTGTATTCATTTAACATGAACTAAAGAAAACTGCACTATTATCAGCGGCCAAACACAAAACTTGCTGAGATCCGCTCTCACAACTCGACTCTACCCTGAGGCAGCGTAAGCCCGAGCTAGCTGATCCGAGCTAAACGGTTACCGTGTTTACGGTTTTCTTCTTTTATAATGCTTCTGTTTATTACACTGAAAATCTGCTGCGTATATTTTATTACAGTGTCTGTCAGCTGCTTTAGTTCACAGGTGTCGCCAACAGCCTACAGTTTACAGTTTATACAGCCTAGTTTAGCTGCTGTTTTCGAGATAAACGTCAGTAAACAGTAGAAAATCTAGGCCTCACCGGCTCTTCATAAACTCTGGACAGTGATTCTGTCACGCTGTCGTTGACTGGCCTGATCTGATCTGATCCCTCCCTCCCTCTCTCTCTCTCTCTCTCTCTCTCTCTCTCTCTCTCCTTCTTCTTCTTCTTCTTCTTCTTCTCTCTCTCTGCCTTAGTGTTTGTCTTTAGCTGTGAGAGGCTGTGTAGTTGTTTAACTGTCTAATGCAGTAATAATGTCTGGTTCTGTATGAAGTGATCAGCATGATTAGTGAAATATATTACAGTAAAAAATCAAAGCTGGGTAAGTTGCTGATGTTGCTGCTGATTTTAATGGTAGAAATGTTCTGAATAGATATCAGCGAAAATGTACAGTTTGAAGGCTGTGAATGTGTTTACTGTCTGTAGAGGTTCACACCTATTAACGGAAGCTAGAGTCCAGGGAGCTGATGGGCAGCAGGTCTCACTGCAATTATATTATTAATTAATCAATCTACTCATAATGTTGACTATTTTTTTCTTTAAGGGATCAGTAACAACCTCTGCACTGTCTAGGGATTCTAAATGCTTTATTGGAAACAGCTTTTGTTTTAGTGTTTTTCTGTACAGATTATTTCCAGTGATGTAGCCGAGTGAGCTCAAAAATATGTTCAGGCTGTGACAGCGGAAATACGAAAAAGTAATGAACTTACTCAGTACTTAAGTAGTTTTTAATGAACTACTTATTTACTCTTACTTGAGTAATTTTATTTACTAATACTTTTACTTGTACTTGAGTAAATTATCACTGCAGTAACAGTACTTGTACTTGAGTAGGGATTTTCATTCACCCCTGTGAAATATACAAACACCTATAAAACGTAATGTTGCCTCCCCAGATGCCGGACTAGTCCTATCCTCTCAACACTCAGCGATCGCCTGATTTTTTAAGCTTCTGCGACCAGACGTGCCCTCTACACGTTTATTTCTGGTTCAAGTGATAGAACTTTTTACACTTGAATAAATAAAATACGACCCTTTATTCTACTTCTTTTTTTTATTTTATGCTTAGTGTGTGAAACTGTGAAATAAAGCTATTTCATGATTTTTCCACTGAGAATAACAGAATAAAAGACGAGAATACTCGGACCACTATAGCACCAAAACAACTTCAGTCATACGTATAACTGTCTACAGCACACTCTCTATCAATCTGAAGAACCATTTTACCATGCAAAATAGCTCTTTAATCACACAAATGGTTCTCTTTGTGTTCCTAGTTCTATATAGAACCACTGTCTTTACTAAAGGACCTTTGAAGAACCATCTCTTTTTAGAGTAAACTACCACACATGGGGAATGGGCATATTTGACTATGAGCAAATCGGAAACTGCTAATTTAAATG